CAGGGCTGAAAGGGGCTCCAGGAGGCCTGGAGAGGGGCTTTGGACAAGGGATGGAGGGACAGGCCAAGGGGAATGGCTTCAACCTGCCAGAGGGGAGATTGAGATGAGCTCTGAGGCACAATTAGCTTTAATGTCCATTCCAACCCAAACCAGGCTGGGATTCTATGATTTTATTCATTTTTAAAGCCATGCACAGGAGTCATTAACACTCTGTTAGGATGTTGTGAAAGAATCTGCTGTGAAAATAAAACTCTCTGAGGGGTTTATGGACTCAGCTCTAAAAGCAAATGGTGATTTGTGGCTCAGTGCTGTTCCTTGTTGCTCTGCTAAGGGAGGGGAAAAGAAGGAGCTGTTTCTTTCTGCAGGTTTTTGTGTTCTAGCTCCATGATGTGGTTTCCCTTCCAAAGGGATTATGCTTACTGGGAATTCAGTTTGTAACTCTTGTGTTAGGTCTGTCATAGCATTACAATCCCAGACTGGTTTGGGTTGGAAACAACCTTAAAGCTCCTCCAGCTCCAACCCCTGCCCCGGGCAGGGACACCTTCCACTAGAGCGGGTTGCTCCAAGCCCCTGTGTCCAACCTGGCCTTGAACACTGCCAGGGATGGGGCAGCCACAGCTTCTCTGGGCACCCTGTGCCAGCGCCTCAGCACCCTCCCAGGGAAGAGCTTCTGCCTCAGAGCTCATCTCAATGCAGTTGTCCTGTGTCAGTTCTCAGTGTGCTCACACAGTGATGTGTGGCAGCCCTTCAGCTGTGACCAGCGCAGGGGCTTGTGCTCTGTTGCTCTATGGGTGAAATGTGATCAGTTCATCATCAGTAGATGACTTTCTGTGTGATTTCATTCCCAAGTGAAGCTGTAACCAGGGCTTACAGCAGCATGGCTTCCACAGGAGAACAGGCATCTGCATCCCCATCACTTCAGAGTGCAACAGATGGTACATGAATCCTAAGGTGATTCATCCAGCTATTTTTTGTAGGGATGGGGATCATTGCTGCCACTGCAGGCTGGGGGGGTGTGTGTGGAGGCTGGGAGAGGTGAGATGGTGTAAGCTCTTAAGAATGGCTCTTTGAAAGAGGGGACTATTTAAAGCCTGGAACCCTTTGGTCAAGGTGTCTTTTTATGTAATCTCAACCTGTGAATGTTTGAAGAGAAGTCTCTGTCTTTTCCTTTGAATTATAGATACAGTGGGAATTGTGGCTTTCACTGCTGCCAGGGTTTTTAAAGCAAGGGAAGTTTTAAAGGCGAAGTGGTGATGCTTCAGTAGCCATGGTGGAATTAAACCTGTAAGTAGCTGGTATTAATACAGACTTGATCTGGTGCCTGTTGACATATGATGTAAAGAAAACCTTGGTCTGTTTGGAGAAGAGATGTCACAGAACTGAGGCACATGAAGACACTCTCCAAATGGTGTTTAAAGCAGATATTTAAATACAAGCAAGCCAAGTAGCACCTTATTTTCCCCCTCTCTTTGTGAAGTGGGTGCAGGTCGGGCAGGGAAGCTCCAGGAATATGAAATAGATTTACTAAAGGGGCTCCAGTAGACCTGGAGAGGGGCTTTGGACAAGGGATGTAGGGACAGGACAAGGGGAATGGCTTGAACCTGCCAGAGGGGAGATTGAGATGAGCTCTGAGGCAGAAGCTCTTCCCTGTGAGGGTGCTGAGGCGCTGGCACAGGGTGCCCAGAGGAGCTGTGGCTGCCCCATCCCTGGCAGTGTTCAAGGGCAGGTTGGACACAGGGGCTTGGAGCAACCTGCTCTAGTGGAAGGTGTCCCTGCCCGGGGCAGGGGTTGGGACTGGAGGAGCTTTAAGGTCCCTTCAACACAAACCCTTTGTGATACACTCAGTTTATGTAGATCTCGGTTGTAAAATGAGGGTCTTGATGTAGTTCAGCACAGTTTGTGATTCAGCCTGCCCAACCAGCTGCATCTCTGCTGCAGGATCCCAAATGGCTGCAGGAAAAAGGCTTCTTTGGTGTCTGGGTGACTGTCAGCCTTGCCTGCACGTGCTGCAGTGACACCTTCTGATTGCAGCACGAGTGGCTCCCTAATGCTGAGCAGCCAAGGGAATGCAGCAGCCACAAGCTGCAGCCATTGCCAGGGTGGATAATGGTGGTCTTAACAGCAGATGAACCAGCTTATAGGCTCATATAAAGTCCAGTGAATTCCTTGTCAAAGGAAGGGTGAAGTTAATGGAGTGACAGGGACCACAGGGATAGTGGGCAGATGGTAAACAGGCCTCTCCACAATGATGCTCTTCAATCTTGTGACACTACAGCAGGGACTGCCACTTGTGTGCCAGGTACAGACTGTGACATTGAGGAGGTGCACAGAGAGGTGTATTTTAAAGCTGCCTTGGTTTAGGAGCCGGAAGAGCTGTCTTGTTCATAATCATTTGTTGTGGGGCTCCCAGACCTATCGCATCCATTCATTGATGGAATTCATGGGAAATACCACATATCTTGTTGGAAACCGGAACTTTCACATTATTTCAAGTTTCATCTCAAATCATGAATGTTTGAGGGTAAAACTGATGCTCAGGAATGATGCAGGAGCCAGCTTTCTTCAGATAAAAATGTGCCTAATAGTGTCTTCACAGCTGTGAAGTCCAGTAACTGCTCTTTTGCTTGTAGGAAGTTTAATTGCACAGTGCGGATCTCTTGGACACAAAGCAAAACTCCTCCTGAAACTGTTTTTAAATCATTTGCTTTGAATTTACACTGAAACTGTTCCTTGAACTGTGTCTTTTCTTTCTTCTTTCAGTGGGGAAGACTTCCTTGATCACCAGGTTCATGTATGACAGCTTTGACAACACCTACCAGGTAAACTCATCTATGTTATTGTCTTCTCTAAGGCCCCTCTGTTGCCACGTCTTCCACTGCAGGAAGAATACATTTGATTAAAGTGGGTAAGAGTTGGGACAGTGACCAAATTCTTACCTGTGAGATCTTTAAGCTTCATATTTTAACCTTTCAGAACAGCATTTTGCTGTTGGATGCTGCTCATCTGCTGTGGTTTCAAAGGACAGGCTCTTAGTTACAGCCAAGTAATAGCAGTAGTTAAGTCTTCCAGGGTGTTTCCTTTCCCCAGACCATCACAGATCTAATGTCTCTGTGGGGAAAATGTAACAGGTACCCAGCTCCTTTAAATCAAGACGACAGCTGAGCTGCAAGACGTTCTGCAGTGGGTGAGCAAGGACTTGCAGAGCAGGAAGCAGTGAATTGTGAGCCTGGGGGTGCTTTAGGACAGTATTTTATGCTGTCTGTTGGAACAAAGACCAAAAACCTGGTTGTTGTGCATGTCCCCATCTCGTGACTGCTTGTTTATTTATTACTGAAAGCAGATTGGGTTGGCAAGGCTGGGGCTGGGGCTGGGGCAGTGGTTGTCTTGTATTCCAGTCGGCCCTGTAGCCCCCTCACGGCTTTGTGTTTGGTGATAAGTCATAGAATCACAGTATCTCAGAGTGGTTTGTTTTGGAAGGGACCTTAAAGCTCCTCCAGCCCCAACCCCTGCCCCGGGCAGGGACACCTTCCACTAGAGCAGGTTGCTCCAAGCCCCTGTGTCCAACCTGGCCTTGAACACTGCCAGGGATGGGGCAGCCACAGCTTCTCTGGGCACCCTGTGCCAGCGCCTCAGCACCCTCCCAGGGAAGAGCTTCTGCCTCAGAGCTCATCTCAGTCTCCCCTCTGGCAGGTTAAAGCCATTCCCCTTGGCCTGTCCCTCCATCCCTTGTCCAAAGCCCCTCTCCAGGTTTCTTGTTTCCAACAGCTCCACGTCCCTCTTGTGTTGTTGCCCAGAGCTGGATCAGGACTGCAGGGGGGTCTCACGAGTCCATGGAGAGGGATCACTCCTGGTACATGACACACCACCAAGGGCACAGCTTTATTCCAGGTGTTTGGTTTCCTTGACTCAGTACAGAGAAGTTCTTGTTTGATTCACAAATGCCACTTTCATAAAAAGAGCTTATTGATAAAGCTACAGGGGTAAGAGCCAAATTCCTCTTATGTAGCAGCAGCAGAAAAACTAATGGACAGCAGAGGTTTTAATAAACTGCAGCTTTTGATTTTTACACCCTGAACCCAAATAACCTTGTTCAAATTTTGGGTTGGGGCAGCTTTCAGAAAATAGACATTCAAAATTCATCAGAAGTGTCCTGAAAGAGCAAATCACCCATCAAGTAACCTACAGCTACAGCTGACAACGTCCATGGTTTGATGGACATTGTCAGTCAAGCACTTGCCTTTGAGAGGTCTCTAAATGATGCTGAGCATGGACAAATCTGTGTTCTGGTTTGACTCTAACAGCTGCTGTGGTTTGGGCTAAATCACTGGAGCTTTTAGGACTCATCCTTTCTACCAGCTACAGCAAAACAGGACCTATCACCTCAGCAATGACTTCAGTCAAATAGAGGTCTTTGGATGAGTGACACTACAAGAAGTACATGAACACCCAAACTAGGCTTGCATCAGTGATAGTTAAATTGGGGCTCTCTTGCAAGCCCTTAAGACTTCTTCCTGATTCACACATTCATTTTGGAATCATTTTGTATATTATGTCAGACCAGCTTCCCACGGAGACAGCTGAATTATCATCAAGCACAGAGGGTCAAACCTGTTCAAGAAGGAACTAGGATGTAGATCCAGAGAGAAAAAGAGCAGACCTGAAATTAAAATACTGGTGGGGGAAAAAACCCCAGGTGAAATAAAAGAGCTGCTTTCTCTGTCCATGTAATTACAGTGGGGAGGATTTGAAAGGATGTTTGCGCCCTTGGGAGCAATGATGTGTTCTTCAGCCCTCCTACACCACAGCAGCTTTGCTTCTCCTGTGGTTGAGTGAAAAGTACATCTCATTGTGCCCAACTCACCTGGCAGAGCAGTGGGGAGGTGCTGAAGAGACAGTAGCTCATGAAGGGGTGAAGAGGTTTAAATGAGATACCTGGACACCAAGAAACAGAAGAGTCACAGCATTATTCTTACCTTTTTCCCATTCCCTCCTCCTCCCACCTCCCTAAAGAACCCTTCACATTCATCAGGGAACAGATTTTTCTCAGCTTGGTGGATTCAGAACGTTACCAACTGTAACCAAGTCATGAAGCCTGTTCTGCCTGGAGCAGACACACTTGGTGAAGCTCAACTACTTTTATAACTTGGCATCTTTTCAAGCTCAACCTGAATTCTAGGAGCTGGCAACAATGACTGATCTCCTAGGACTGTGGAGAGGAACCTTGGATAGCTTGAACTGAGCTCAAGGGAGGGGATCCTGCCCCTCTGCTGTGCTCTGGGGAGACCCCCCCTGAGTCCTGATCCAGCTCTGGGGAACAGCACAAGAGGGACACGGAAGTGCTGGAGCGAGGCCAGAGGAGGCCCCGGAGCTGCTGCGAGGGCTGGAGCAGCTCTGCTCTGGAGCCAGGCTGAGAGAGCTGGGCTGGGGCAGCTGGAGAAGAGAAGGCTCCTGAAGGGGACACCTTAGAGCAGCTCCAGGGCCTAAAGGGGCTCCAGGAAACCTGGAGAGGGGCTTTGGACAAGGGATGGAGGGACAGGCCAAGGGGAATGGCTTGAACCTGCCAGAGGGGAGACTGAGATGAGCTCTGAGGCAGAAGCTCTTCCCTGTGAGGGTGCTGAGGCGCTGGCACAGGGTGCCCAGAGAAGCTGTGGCTGCCCCCTCCCTGGCAGTGTTCAAGGCCAGGTTGGACACAGGGGCTTGGAGCAACCTGCTCTAGTGGAAGGTGTCCCTGCCCGGGGCAGGGGGTGGAGCTGGAGGAGCTTTAAGCTCCCTTCAACCCAAAGCACTCTGATTCTGAAAACAGAGTAACAACAATTCCTTAGTAGACAGTGGCTTTGTGAGGGCAGATGGATTAAGAAGTCTTCTCATACGTGGTCCCATCTATACCATCTGTAGTGTGGTCGTCTCAAGCATTTATTTTGTTCTTGCCCTCATTAAATTTGTGATTGGGACTTAGTGCCTCACATCATGGTCAGAGCTTGCTGAGTTGCTGCTTGTTCCATGTGGTGCTCAGCATTCCACAAGCAGGTTAAACCTGCCTCCACCTTAATGATGGTAATTAGCTTAGTGTAATGTCCATGTATTTTCCCCATCAGTGAGTAGGCTTTTCCACTACTCGTACCTTGCACAGCTCTTTACAACTGATCTGTAAGGATCTGCCAAGGATTTGCTCCTTCTGTCAGATCGTTACAAAATGCCTCTTCAAGTTGCCTCTTAGTGAAAGTCTGGGATACACCAAGTGCTTGAATCCACTCCTTGATAGTGTTCTTACCTGTGTTGTGGGCAGAACAATACATGTGAACAAACACATTTGGCTCTAAGTTATTCCATGTAATTCTTAAAGCTTGTGAGGGTTTAGGTGAAGAGCCATTTCACAGCTTAAAGGTAACAAACCTGCTCTATGTTCTTCTCAATGCAGTTAGCACTCATACCTATTCCCGGGCCTAAAATAAGGTTTGTGCTTGGCCATTTCCCATGCTGTGAGCTTCCCAAGTGCAGGAATCTCGCTGACCTGACACCTTTCTGCATGGCATTTAGATGTTCTCCAGGCATACAGAGACTTCAGAGCTCCTGCTGCTGTGCAGCTGTGTGGGAGGGATGGCACAAAGTACAGGCTGAGGCAGGTTTTGGGCTTTGCAGCTGATGTTCCAGCTCCTGCTGAGAGCAGAGCAAGTCTGAGCTCCAGCCGTTTGGCTGCCAGAATGAGACCCTGACATGTGTGCCGGGTGTGGGATCTTAAGGGGGGGTTGTAGGTTTTCTTCTGGGAAGTGAAAGTGGAAAGACGCAACGAAGAATAGAAGCATTTCTGAGGCAATCTTCCGAGGAGAATCCACTGCCAAAACAATATAAAACAAAAGCAGAAGGGAAGCATGTTGTTGGATTAGTCTTTTGAGGGTTCTCGTATCTGCCTTGCAGTTTCAGTGTCATGGAATCACAGCCTGGTTTGGGTTGGAAGGGAGCTTAAAGCTCCTCCAGCTCCAACCCCTGCCCCGGGCATGGACACCTTCCACTAGAGCAGGTTGCTCCAAGCCCCTGTGTCCAACCTGGCCTTGAACACTGCCAGGGATGGGGCAGCCACAGCTTCTCTGGGCACCCTGTGCCAGCGCCTCAGCACCCTCCCAGGGAAGAGCTTCTGCCTCAGAGCTCATCTCAGTCTCCCCTCTGGCAGGTTCAAGCCATTCCCCTTGCCCTGTCGCCCCATTACATTAAGGTAGATGAGGATACTGGGCAGTCAGGAAGAATATGGTGTGCTCTGATGCCCTTGTTCAGCTGAGGGACACTGACTTAGGTCATTTGCATGAGAATCCTTGCTGATACCCATCTGTATTAATTCGACTGTCAGTGTGAAGAAGCTGAAGTTAATATTAACACCTTTTTGTGCTTTGAGACATTGTGCTGGTTATGGATATTAAGGAAACTGCTTATCAAATCTTACTGGTAGAGTTTTATCTTGAAAGCAAGAAAACCAGTGTATTTTTCTTGCAGAGATGCTGCATTCCGAGGTGGCAGGAATGTTTCTGCCCTGGAAATCATCACCGCTGTTCTGACACTTTGTTTAAGAGCTCTTTTCCTTTTCTTACAGGCAACAATTGGCATTGACTTCTTATCGAAAACCATGTATCTGGAGGATCGAACAGTGAGTAAGAGTTTTGTGCCCTTCTCTATGTACAGTAGGAACGAGGATCAGCATCTGTTGTAATTGTGCAGCCCACAGTTGTGAGATCACTTGGAAGCACAGACAGAGCACCATGTACCAGCTGCTTGCAGGCTGCCAGGGGCTGTGGAGACAGCTCCCTGCTCTGTCTGAGGCAATGGGAAATCACCTCTTGGTTCCCGAGTGCCATTGACATGTGGCAGAAGGTGCTCTAGTGTCATCCTCTTTGGAGAAAGAGATATGGATAGTATGAGGGGTGCATAATGATGGGAATGTGGAGGAGGGGACCACGCTTATCCCTTTCAGGTTTTGATGTCACAAGACAGAAGGATAAAGTACAAATGTTTCTAGTTAATAGCTCAATATTAATATCACTGGTTTAAAAAAAAGGTTGCCTTTGATAGTAATCCCCAAACACGCTTGTTTCTCAGCTCGGTGCAGTTCTAGCTCCCCAGTGAAATGACTCCTGTGTGAAAGCAGTCCTGTGGTTTCAGTGAGCTCACGTTCTTAATGAAGACATTCAGAGTTGTGCTATTTGCAGAAGCAAATTGTGCAGAGCTGCAGAAGCTCACGGGCTTGCAGAAACCCCCAATCAGTGTGATTGCATTGAAAGTGCTTGAGCAGCGAGATGTTCTTTCCTTGCCCATCTTGCCATATGTGTTGCTTTTAGTCTATCCTGCCTTTTCCTTCTGAACCTTGATGGTAAGAGGCACTCAGCCTCACCTAGGTGAATATTACTTTGTGGTGTGGCTCAGGCTTAAATAGAGAGTGATAATGTTTTATCCTCCTTGATAAAGAAGCACATTAGAAGCTTTTCCAGTGCTTTGACTGGAAGAGCAGTGAGAGGCTCTTCCATTAGAGGGATGATGGATGTGGTCTGATTTTTCCACCTCCAACCATCCTCCAGGCTGCTGGAGGTGCCCTGGGTGAGGATAACAGCGGAGCAGGAAAACCTTGAGTAGGCAGAACCACAGGTGAAGTTTTCCTGTTGGTGCTCTCAGTTTCAAAGCTGAGCAAGTTTATTCCTCCCCTTTTGGAAGTCTTTTTTCCATGGCAGAAACCCGAGATAGCTGCACATCCACCACTTTGGCTCCTGCTAGTGCTTGGGAGCGCGCTCCTTGGGAAGCTCCCACTCATCTGCATGATTATCATTTTTATTTAGCTTTTTTTTTTTCTTTTTTCCTTCCTTTTTTTTTTTCTTCCTTCTTTTCCAAAGTAAAATTTCTTTCTTCTTCTTTCATTTTTCGTGGCAGTTTGGCTTTTTTTCATTTTCTCCCACCCACAGATCAGGTTGCAGCTGTGGGATACTGCGGGTCAGGAACGTTTCCGTAGCCTCATTCCCAGTTACATCCGTGACTCTGCTGCTGCTGTAGTAGTTTACGATATCACAAGTAGGTATTTTGCACTGGCTTTGACCTTTGTTCTTATTTTTCTTGCTTGTTTGACTGATTTTGTTAGGTACGGTTGCAATTATGGGACACAGCAGGTCAAGAGCGGGTCAGGATTTTTTTCAGGAGCTTGATTCCTAGCTACATTCGTGACTCCACTGTTGCAGTTGTTGTTTATGATATCACAAGTGAGTGGGGGGAATTCTGCATTTCTAATCCTCTGCCCCTTTTCATCCTTTAGCTTAGCTTTGCATGTCCTATCACAGTCATCTGCTTGTTCCTCATTCTAGCATGACAAACCAAGGTGTTTTCTTTCACTCGAGGCCACCTGATTGCTGCTGTTGTAATGTGTAAACTGTCTTCCAAACATGAGTTTGTAACCTTTTCCTATCACATTCTCCTCAAGCCTTGAATCCTGGCTGGTCTTGTTGCACTCTCCCCTCTTTCATTTGCTTTTTTTGATCATAATATCACCATGACTTTTGGTCTCAAACACCTGAATCATGTTCATAGATAAGTGGATTCTGAAATGAGAGACTTTGCACTGATAGCTGTAGCTTGCTTCACTCCATTTACCCTCCTCCCCACCCCCCCCCCCTCCCCCACCCCCCTCCCAACAATCTGGGCATGGGCTGGGGGGGGAAATGCATTAACATCACATTTTCATTTTGAATCAGTCACCTTCCCAATCTGCAATATGGAAAACTTCACCACTAAGCCCTTACCTTTAACAATTGCTCTTTCATTTCTTACTAAGGTATGTACATTTTTGTGAACTAAAATATTAGTGCTGTTTTCAACCCTTCTCTTTCTGTCCCTCCCCTCAGTCCAGAGCCCCCTTAACTTACCAGCTTTCTGCATTCACAAGCACCACAAATACTGGTTTAGGACAATTAAACCTTCAGACACTTTAATTCTAAACCAGAATTGACCACGAGCAATGGCCTAATTCTGTCCAAATGCAAAAGTACTTGTCCTTCGATTTATAGGCACTAGAAGATTGCAGCAGGAACATGGGTCTTACCTATTAAAGCTTTAATTGTTAAAAGTAGCACTTTTATTCGAGCTCAAAGCACAGATTAGCTGTGAACTTTGATATATTTTTACTGACCTGGCAGATTCGATATTGCCAAGGAGTAAAGAGAAGAATTAAAACACTGACAAGTGATCAAGTCTCAACTGTCCCCCACACAATATATTACTATGCAGCAGAAGCCATTAAAACAGTCAATACTCCTCAGGAATTGCTGCAGAGCCTCCCCTTTTTAAGGACTGAAAACTACTCTGGCAGCTTAGCTGCTCGGTGTGTCGCTACCTGGCAGATGCTGAGCTCCACACAGCTTCTGTACAACTGGTTTTTCCTTATGGGATGCAACTTTCCTAACAATAAACAGTCTCATTGGATCATTTTAGCTTCCTAAAATTCTTATGTTGCAGCTTTTAAGGAGAAATTGTAGAATCAGAGTGGTTTGGGTTGAAGGGAGCTTAAAAGCTCCTCCAGCTCCAACCCCTGCCCCGGGCAGGGACCCCTTCCACTAGAGCAGGTTGCTCCAAGCCCCTGTGTCCAGCCTGGCCTTGAACACTGCCAGGGATGGGGCAGCCACAGCTTCTCTGGGCACCCTGTGCCAGCGCCTCAGCACCCTCACAGGGAAGAGCTTCTGCCTCAGAGCTCATCTCAATCTCCCCTCTGGCAGGTTCAAGCCATTCCCCTTGGCCTGTCCCAACAGGCCCTTGTAAATCATGAAGAAAAAGTGTCTGTGCATAGGTTATATTTGTATTTCTGGTTCTGTGCAGCTGATTTGGGAACTATATTGAGCATTCAGTGGTACAGGAGTTGTTAGTGTGTTAAATAACCCCAATATTCCCTAGAGAACATCCTGAACCTTGCAAGTTAAAAGTGATTAATCTGTAGAAAACATGTGGCTGGTATTAAGTACTCTCGAGAAGCCATGAACCTGTAGGAACTTCCTGCTGTAGCTACACAAGTCATGAGCAGTGTAGATGCAGTATCACATCAATCCCCTTTCTCTCTATACGCTATTTTATGTTGAACTAAACCAGAAGGGAACTTGTTTAAACCTCAGTGATACTCAGTTTAAACACTGCCAGAACCATGCTCTAGCTCAACTCAACTCCCTGGCTTTGAATTCACTTGTAGTGAGGTGAATTTGAAGCTCATTTGAAATGAATGCCAAAGTTTTCCTATACTTCAGTGTGGGAGACTTAGGGTTTCACTTGCTGATTCTTCATCACCCTGTTATGCCAAGTCCAGAGACTATGAAGCTTTCATTTGGGATTTAGAGCTGTGTTTACCCGGGATCTGTGAGGAACTCCTGCAGTGACAAATCCTCTCCCTGTTCTCTGTTAGATGTAAACTCCTTCCAGCAAACAACAAAATGGATTGATGACGTGAGAACGGAAAGGGGCAGCGATGTCATCATCATGCTGGTGGGAAATAAAACAGATCTAGCAGATAAGAGGTATGGAGGAATCCCTCATCTTTAACTGCTCTTCTGACCCTGCTGCTCTTTGCTCCTTGACAGCTATTGTAAAGAGAACATTGGCATTTGTATTAGTTCCCAAAAGCTGAAGCTTGTTTTGACTGTGCTGGAGATGGCTGTGACTAGAGCAATCTTAATTGTAAATCTGCTTTCATTTGGTTAAGCACAAGTTGCCAGTGAATGAGTTGAGCAACTGTCACCAGCTTGTTCAGGATGACAGAATGGAATGTCAGCTACAACCTGTGTCAGCGCAGGAATAAACTGGAATCCTTATAACTATTCATACTTAATACATTTGCTCAGCTATCAATGATAGGTGAAAGTAATCCTCCCTTTGGGAAACTTAAGTTGGGCATCTTCAGCTTTTGCTGCAGTTGCTGCTGCTTCTGGATTTATGGTATTCATAGAATCCTAGAATAGTTTGGGGTTGGAAGGGAGCTTGAAGCTCCTCCAGTTCTAGGGATGGGGCAGCCACAGCTTCTCTGGGCACCCTGTGCCAGTGTCTATCTGAACATTAGATTAAAAGCATGAAATGGTGTCAGAACTGCAATGATACAGTCACCTCATTGGGTTGAAGACAAAAGTCTTCATTTTCAAGGTGTCTCTGTGGGGTTTTTTTATTCCTAATTGTGTGTTATCTTCCCCAGACAAGTGTCCATTGAGGAAGGAGAAAGAAAAGCCAAAGAGCTGAATGTAATGTTCATCGAAACTAGTGCAAAAGCAGGATACAATGTAAAACAGGTGAGTAACCACAACAGGCCCAAGACTGCTTCTGTTAATGCACCATTGTGGAAACAGAACTTCCCCGGACATTGGGAAACCTCTGCAGAGAGTCTCAGAGGGACATTTGTAGTCCACATACCACGAGCAACATCTCGGTGTTGAACTGTTCAGAAGAGGATCCCTGATTTTACAGCAAAGGGCTTGGAATCTCTTTCCCCTTAGAAAAGAGGAGCTGTTTAAGAGAAATCCTTCCTGGATTTTTGATGTTACAGATTCGGCGTTTTAGATTGAAGGGATTAAGGCATGAGCCAAAAAGTTGGGGGAACACAGGTTTGAGGACTGTTTCTGAAGCCAGTTCAGTGAATGAACATGGGCACAGCAGTCAAGGAGGAATGTGGTGGCTTAAATTGCTTCCACTACACAGTGAGAGTGGAAACTGGTGTCTCCACTCTGCTGGAAGACCCTGAAATGTGAGTGAATGTTCCTGGGGGGCCAAAGCTGTTTACTTCTGGTAGGTGATGAGTTGCTTTTGAATTGGGGAAAGCAGGGAGAGGTCTTCAGGGCTGGTGCAGCTGCAACAAAACTGGGGTTTACGTTGTGAGCTTTTACGTTGTGACCTGGTAGATGAGGGATTAGCACTTGGGTTAATGAAGGTAAATCACTTGGCAAGCAGCAAACGGGTGAAAGCAGTGAACACTGAGGAACTGATCTGGTGTTGACAGGGAAGAAATGGTGTTTGGGCTTATGAGTTGTGTATGTAAATGTACTTCCCAGAATCCCAGAGTGGTTTGGGCTGGAAGGGACCAGAGCAGAGCTGCTCCAGCCCTCGCAGCAGCTCCGGGGCCTCCTCTGGCCTCGCTCCAGCAGCTCCACGTCCCTCTTGTGCTGTTCCCCAGAGCTGGATCAGGGCTGCAGGGGGGGTCTCCCCAGAGCACAGCAGAGGGGCAGGATCCCCTCCCTGAGCTGCTGCTCACACACTGGGGGTGCACCCAGCACATGGGGGGTTCTGGGCTCAAGCACACACTGAAGCCGGGTCATGGGGAGCTTCTCCTCACCCAACACCCCAAGTGCTTCTCCTCAGGCTGCTCCATCCAGTCTCCCCCAGCCTGTGTTTGTGCTGGGATTGCCCCAACCCAGGGGCAGGACCTTGCCCTTGGCCTTGTTGAGCTCCATGAGGTTCCCATGGTCCCACCTCTCCAGCCTGTCCAGGTCCCTCTGGATCCCATCCCTTCCCTCCAGCGTGTCACTGCTCCACACAGCTCCGGGTCATCAGCAAATGTGCTGAGGGTGCTGGATCCCACTGTCCATGTCACCAGCAAAGATGTTGAACAGGATCAGTCCCAACAGCAACCCCTGAGGGCACCACACATCACTGGTCTCCACTTGGAGACCACAACTCCCTGTGTGCGACCATCCAGTCAGTTCCTTATCCACTGAGTGCTTCATCCATCAAATCCATGTCTCTCCAATTTAGAGCCAAGCATTCCCAGCAAGAGGCAAGAGATCTAGGGGCGAGATTCCTAGCAGATCATGAATTGAGAGTGAGTGGTGTCCATCCCTCCTGACTCAGTGCATAGTTGGACACTGCTGCTTCCTTGATCTAGCAATTTCCCACATGGAGTCATGTCCCATAAAGCATTTGCTCTTATGGAAGGAGGAAGTGCATTTGTTCCTGGGCATCCCCACAGAGCAAACACCTTCACACATACGTGTGTGTACATAACCCCACGTGTATTTCCTCTGTAGTCCACAAACAGTTTGTGTGCAGAATTGTATTAGAGGTGCTAAAACAGGCTTAGAAATTACTTTGTGTGTTGTAGACAGGACTAAAAGGTCTGTTATTAAAATGTCTCTTGACTTTGTGTATTAGGAGCAAAATTGTTCCCTACATAATGGAGTAATGAGACGTGTTAACTTAGTGCTGTGTTTCAGTGCATTAGGGAGTGTGCAAGTGTCTGGTCCCAGGGTCCCCAATTATCCTGCCACAACACAGAGGCTGGTTTGTAATTAAGGCTTGGATTCCATGCTGGAATTCTTAGTGTTCACTCAGACAGGGGGGTGTGGACCTGGCTGAGAGGAATGATTCACAGCTTGCTCTGGGTTGGAAAGGACCTTAAAGCTCCTCCAGCTCCAACCCCTGCCCCGGGCAGGGACACCTTCCACTAGAGCAGGTTGCTCCAAGCCCCTGTGTCCAACCTGGCCTTGAACACTGCCAGGGATGGGGCAGCCACAGCTTCTCTGGGCACCCTGTGCCAGCGCCTCAGCACCCTCACAGGGAAGAGCTTCTGCCTCAGAGCTCATCTCAGTCTCCCCTCTGGCAGGTTCAAGCCATTCCCCTTGGCCTGTCCCTCCATCCCTTGTCCAAAGCCCCTCTCCAGGTTTCCTGGAGCCCCTTTAGGCCCTGGAGCTGCTCTAAGGTGTCCCCTTCAGGAGCCTTCTCTTCTCCAGCTGCCCCAGCCCAGCTCTCTCAGCCTGGCTCCAGAGCAGAGGGGATAAGAGGACAGATCTTGTATTGCTGCGACTTCAGCCCATTCTGGCAGAAGGTTCTGTCATTTACTAAAACACGTGCTTTGTCAAGCTACCACAGCCTTCGTCATGAGGGCTGGGAGCTCCATTTGATCCATGAGGAAGGAACAAACTTTGCCTTTTTGTGTTTCATGCTGAAGCCATTGGGGGATTTTCCTAATGAGATTGTGAGAGCATGAAGCCATTTCTGTAGCTGCAGCCTCACTTGCTCGCTCTCTAGAGACAACTCTTGGTTGTATAATGGAGGTCTAGACAAATCATGCCTCTGATTTTAATTGCCAGATTACATGCTGCAAGACTGCTGCTGTGAGAGAACAGGGTTGGTGATGCAGCTCCAAGCAAAACAGAGGGGTGGTGGGAAGCTGGATGCTGATTCCTTCCGTTGGGTGGAAGATTTGGTGTTGTGAGACATAATTCTTGTTCTTTGTTAGCATCAAGAAACAGGAGTATCTAAAACCTGCATCATAATTCAAGAGGGTACTTGATGTAATGTGAAATCTTGTCAGAATGGGACCAGAGGATAGATTTTAAGTGACCTCATTCTCTGTGCACGATATTGAACCACAAAGACACGGGTGGTGATTGAACAAGAGCTAAAAATGGATTTTTCTGCTGAGTTTGGATCTCGTGTTGCAGGCAGGGATTGGGATTTGCAGGAACTTCAAAGCTCTCCTGTACTGCAGAACATTTGGAACACTCACTTTTCATTAGTTTAATAAGTAACTGTTGAAACAGTTCCCAAAGGAGAAGACTTTTAATAGCATTAGTTTCCCAGTTCTGTTTCCTTGCAACTTCTCTATCGATTGGTTTGAGTTTGTGTTACTAACTTGTCAGGAATTCTTCCCTAATGAAATGGGAGCAACTACATTGCTCTGCTCTGCTGAGACCCCACTTGCAGCGCTGGGTACAGTGCTGGTGTCCTCAGCATCAGGAGGACATGGAGCTGTTGGAGCAAGTCCAGAGGAGGCCACGAGGATGCTCAGGGGCTGGAGCAGCTCCCGTATGGAGACAGGCTGAGAACATTGGGGCTGTTGAGCCTGGAGAAGAGAAGCTGCTGGAGACCTCAGAGCAGCTTCAGTGTCTGAAGGGGGCTACAAGGATGCTGCAGAGGGACCTTCATCAGGGACTGGAGTGACAGGACAAGGGGGGATGGGTTCAAACTGGAACAGGGGAAGTTCAGGTTGGATCTAAGGCAGAAGCTCTTCCCTGTGAGGGTGCTGAGGCGCTGGCACAGGGTGCCCAGAGAAGCTGTGGCTGCCCCCTCCCTGGCAGTGTTCAAGGCCAGGTTGGACACAGGGGCTTGGAGCAACCTGCTCTAGTGGAAGGTGTCCCTGCCTGTGGCAGGGGTTGGAATTGGATGATATTAAAGTCCCTTCATCCCAAACCATTCTACAGATCTATGATTCTTCCCATAACCTGTATAAAATGTCTCTTTAATAAGCCAAAGGCAAATTTGACCTTCCCTATACTGTTAACTTCTACCCACAATCTATTCAGATGCTGCAGGGCAATCACTGCCTGAGTTAATTTTCACACAGGAGTTTTGATTCCAAATGAAAACTCCTGTGTTTAATTAACAAAATTATTATAATCAAGTTTAAAATAATCAGATTATTTTAGATACCAGTTCCAGCTTTTGACTACATCTAGTGAAACACATTGGTGTAAAAATTAACATTACTTTATGCCAGATTTCAAATACTCATGTCAAGTTGAGTCTTAGACTGGTTGTTAAGTCATTGGCCTGTCCATCAGGGTATAGGTTCAGATTTAGCAATGGCTTTAGGAGCTTTGACACTGAGTGTGACTGAAGTGTGTGGCTTAGGGAATAGGAACTGGTTTGGGTTATTCTTCCATGTGTACTTTACCTGCCAGTCTGAAAGTTCTCAGCTTGTCAGGGCTTCACTTGCAGCCTCCCTGGGCAGTCCAAACCCACTGACGCACACTGTTGTTCCCAGCACAAGATCCTGCTGCTGGATCGAAATCCCAGCACTGGGTTAGCGGTGTGGAATGACACAGGTTAACATAGAAGGAGGCTTGGGATGAAGCTGAACCCTCCATCCTCCATTGTTGGCTTCTTTGCATTTCCACCCGCTTCCCTTTGAGGTTTTGGTTTCTGTGCAGTGTCTGATGTTGTCTCCAAGTGGGGTCTCACCAGAGCAGAGGTCACTGGGTGCTGCTGAAACCAGGACATGGCAGACTCTCATTTTATGACTTCTCTGGCATTTCTTTTACCCAGAGACTGACCCGATGAGCTGCTGGGACAAGCCTCATCTCTCCTACTTGCTCATTGTCACAGTAGATAGTAACATACAGCTGCTGGGTACCACTGGATCTCTTAATGTCACCAAGTCCTGTATACTCCCTGATCCTCCTTGTTTTGGGGAGGGAATGTTGAAGGACGAATGAGTGGACGATATTCCAGAGTAAAAATGGTGCTGAAAGTGTTATTCTGGGGTTAAACTGATGCAGTAGAGGGGGAAAATACTGGTTTCTGGATCCTGCATGTTTCAGCAGGCTGATTGCCAGGGGAGCCCTAAGACTGAGGAGGGAAGTAGATAACTTGCTTCATTGAATGCAGACAATCCTAGACTCTGACTCGTTTTATTTGTCAGCCCTGAATAAGCTTTAAAAGCCTTTCAGATTCCTGCTCTCCCTCAGCAGCCTGTGTTTCAGGGAATCTCATTGTTAGGTTCTGTGTTTCATGCCCAGAATATGTCAGCCTTCATTTTGCTCTCTTGGAGAGAGGAGGGAGAGCCCTGAAGACCTCCTTGGAGCAGTACCTGGCGCTCTCCACGCTGCTCACAAAGAGCCACAGGCTCGATGTGGGATTTGGCAGACAGACTTTCTCACGGCAGCTGCTGAAGGCCCGTGGCCTCTGGAGTAACCCTGTTCTCACAGAGCTGGCTGCATCCCCCAGCTTGGCTCTTTCTCCTCTTGTCCTTTGATTCTTGTGTGTCTGACGGGCAGGAATTACTCTGTGAGTTGCATTGCTCCCCTCAGAGAATGAGAATTAGGGGAAGGGTTTTGTTTGCTTTGCATTAGGAAGCAGGTTTCTTGCCTGGCTTTTCCCTCTGGACAGTGATTCTCCTCTCTTTTCCACCCTGCTGCAGGAGTGGCACACTGAGAACTGGTTTATGCCTCTGGTTGGTTGTGCCACTGATCTGGTGGGGATTTAGTGGCTGGAGGAGGAGGAGAGGCACAGGCTGCAAATGAGGGAAACTAATGATGAGAAACGAGGGTTTGTCTTGTTTTTCAGGGTTTAATCAGGAAGGAGGCTCAGGATTGAATGCTGAAAGAGACTCTGTGTGGCTTTATTCACTCACACGGCTGTATTTTGTCCCTGCCTGTAGCAGGGGGTTGGAAGTGGATGATCTTTAAGGTCCCTTCAACCCAAACTAGTCTATTCTGTGGTTTCACTCCTGCCTGTCCTGAATGCTCATCAGTACATGTGCTTTTATACAGACACATAGGCACAAATGTTTAGACATAGAATCCCAGACTGGTTTGGGTTGAAGGGACCATAAAGCTCCACCAGCTCCAACCCCTGCCCCGGGCAGGGACACCTTCCACTAGAGCAGGTTGCGCCAAGCCCCTGTGTCGACTCTGGCCTCGAACACGGCCACGG